GTTGTTTGTGTTCCAAATTGTGAAAGGCATAGCCCAGAAATGAAATATAGTAATTTACAGCTATTGATATTGCGTTCGAGCTAGAGGCCCGTCGGAAAACACGGCGTAGCTTCCGTCGATGGCTGACTGCCTCGTGGTTTCAAGCAACCGTTCGGCCGCTGTGGCCACTACTTGCAGGATTGCCTGAGTGTTTTACTCCACTAGCACATCCGAAATCAGCCCTGAACCTGCCAGCGCGTCGTGTTGATGGGCTGCGCAACAGTAGCCGGCATTTAGCCGGCTACTGTTGCGCCGGCTACTGTTAGTACGTGCACCGTAGCAAGCGGAGAGGGACGACGCAGTAGGTATAGTTCTTATCATTCTTCGACGTCGACGTAACAAGCTCATCTAAGTTTGTCGCCATTAGGCTGAAAGAGCGCTTATTGAAGTAGCAGCAACAGCTTTGAACGAGACCTCAGGGTGCCACAGAACAACGCTTGAAGGAAGTCCTTTTTACCTTCATATGTTGCGAAAGTAAACAGCTGTGAAATATGGCAGCGAGGCGGCGCTGCGCAAATTGGGGGCGAGGGTGGGCTCCTCCTTTCTGGCTTGTAATTTGGATGGGTTGTCGGCTGCAGGCCGTTCATCGTGGGACGACCAGGCTGCCATTTCTCTTTTTTTGTAAGAGACAACAACTAATCATGCAGCTCCGATATAAGACTTTCGTCTTCATATTTGTCCTACACCGCCTTAGGAAAACCACCACGCCATGTGTGCGCGCGAGTGACGGTGCAGGGCGCCTGTTCCACTCACTTCGTAACCTGAAGCGTGTACTTAATAAAAGTTGCTAGCCAAGTCCAGCTCCAGAACTATTCTATCCTTTCGCGTGGACAGGTATTTACCCGTCTTCACAATTTACGTCCTGTCGTGAGTTGGGCTGTCGTTTATCTACTTGAACTTACTTACGTGTTTTCAGCAAATCATTTGCCGACATTTCCTTACCTGACGACTGTATGGATAAAGGTTCAAACCATCAAGGATGCCTGCGGCCGGAGCCATTGCAAAGCAATTTAATCGCCTCCGTGGTCTGTAACCTAGTTCATCACTCTAACCCAGCCGACTTCCTTTGCCTCCAGATTTCTTCGGAAAATAGCCAGTCAGTGGTCTTCCATTTTGGTGGAACCCCGTGGTTTACCCTGGTCCCACATACATGCGATCCAGTTAATGGCACAACGGATTAAACTTTCCAACCACATTGGCTCCATGGTAAAAGACACCAGCCGCGCGGGCCTGTTCAAAGGTTGGCGGACGGCACGCAGCGGATGTGGCAAACAGCCGTCATTAGGGCGTACTTACTGACCCGCACCCAGTTGCAGAAGATGGCGGTGCTGCCTGAGCAGCAGTCATGGAGACAAATTGACGGCGACTGGAAATAATTTGGCAGAAGTTCTCGGCCGGACGTTGACGTGCTCGTTTCACGTTATGAATTACGACCATCCCGTACATCACAGAACGCCACCAAGCTCGCTAACAAAGCACAACATTAGGTTGTGCACAAATACGCAGTTCGCGCAGATCGAGCAGAGGGTGGCTCCCCGTGCGAGCAGCTTCCCCGCTGACATTTACCAGTCCACTGTACGACCCGGAGGTCCGGAGACCCGGAGGGCCGGTGCTCAGCTCATTGTCTGGCATGTGCCAACCGCATGAACCACGGCCCGTGACGACAGCTATTTTGTCTCCTCACGGATTTTACCACACTTTGTTGTTTACATGGTCATCTCGCCTCTTCCGTGATCCAAAATTTAGTTACGCTTTCCTTGTTTTATTTTGGCTTTGAAATCCTGCTCTAGGATGTTAAGCTTTTTTTGCGTGATATGCCTGTCTTTGCATACCGCATATTGAGTCGAATGAATGAAGTCTATCGTGACTTAGTGCATTTTCCTTTGGGACTTATTTACCAAAGAAATAGACCTTACTGCGTATAGCACACGCCAATGAAGCACACCATAGTTGCACTGGAGGGAACCCAAACCTTGCCAATACGCGTGGTGCCTTGCCATTACATTCCGCCGCCCGGCTGCTGGCGCCCGCCCGATGCATCTGCAGCCCGACACGCTAATGCAAACAGAGGAAGACAGATGGCCTGGGAGCAGGCCAGAAAACCACACCGGCAAATCCGCGTAATATGCCAATTATGCGCCAGGCCACTCCGGCACCGGCGTGCCCCTCCCAGCCATGGGCGGCATGGGCCCGCGTTCACGCACGTGCTGTCCCGCGGAAGCCCCGCTCCCTCGGGACGTTGCCTCCCAACTCAGAGACGGCCTGAGCCCTCCTCGCACGTGATCAGCCGAGTCAGCGGGCGGCGACAACCATCGCGCGACAATTAATGGCGCGCGGCGGCGGCCCGGCCCGGGCGGGGCCTGCCAGCCGGCGGCGGAAGCGGCGCCGATGAGTGACCTCTCGGCGGGCTCTCGGCGGGGCTAGTCAGCCGGCCTGAGAGTCCAATACCCGGCGGCGACGAGAGCCCTGTCGACTGCCAGTCAGCGAGCCCGGCCGACGGACGCGGCGCGCCGCGCGCCACCAGGCATCGGCGCCGTCCGGGATGCTGCCGGCGGCGTGGCATCGGCGGGAGATGGACATTTGCAGCAGCGGACACACATCATCGGGAGGACACATCACTGACAGCGACCAGACGTCATCAACAGTGGTCGCGCGCCATCGCCAGTGGTCGCATGATCATCACCAGTGGACATGCATTATCGCCAGCAGGCGCAGACCCACGGCAGACTCATTCGACACTGACTGACACATCAAGCGAAGTGCATTCAGATGATCGACAGTGGACACACATCGACAGTTCATGCGCGTCATCGACAGCGGTCTGTCGGAGCGGACCGGGTTTCGCCGACATCTCCCACAGAACGACGGGCCGGTTACTTTGCATAAAAGTCGCATAAAACTCTGATAAATATTCGCTCTCGGGCATAATCGCGGCTTTCGGGGTGGAAGATGGAGTGCGAGGGTCGCCGTCGGGGTGACGACAGAGAATGTCTAGCGATCGGTGCGACCGGATCGGTTTCGTTTGAAATTCCTCGAACCCGCTCTCTTTTCATTAGGTGGTCTGATTCCAGAGCAAACGGATGTGGGGAAGCATACCAATGTCTGCCGATGGGGAGTTGCTCACAGTGCAGCCTGCAGCTAATAAATGGTCTCCGGTCGAAGTGGTTAATTACATTCTCCGGCGACACCGTGAAATTATAGATAACTAACTGCAATTTCTACACTGTTTCCATTGAGACCCGCATGCATGCTAACATTTGATACATTTCGCCAGTGGGGGATGTGCTGCCGCAGCGGGGGATGTGCTGCCCCAGCGGGGGATGTGCTGCCCCAGCGGGGGATGTGCTGCGCGAGGGATTCTTCTCTTGCTCACAGTGATCGCCTCCAAGTTCACATAGTGTGAGCTTCACCGTCTGCACATTGCAGCTACGGCTCAGCAAGCAGCAAGCTTTGCCCAAACCATTTCGGGGCATATTATAACACCGACGCGATGCTACGGAAAGTCAGAATGGCCAGATCTGATCCCTCGACACGTCTCAGGAACGAAATACACACGACGACGACTACACAGGCCCGTGACAGCAGCAGAAACTCATGTCGATCTCAGCATTTCCGCGCGGCGGGCCTCTTCCCCAAGCAACAGCGGCGCATCTGCCACCTTCCGAGCCCAACCTGCCCCGCCATGCCGCCCCGCCTCGGCCCACATCGGCCGTCCACGCTTCAGCGCAGGCCTCTTGGCGCCGTCAGCGGGCTGTCAGACGACGCCCCAGCTGAGGCTGACCTGCCTTTGTGCAGCCAGAGCCGCCCCGGCCTCGTGCCCGACGATCCATTTGACAGGCACGGGAACTCATCGACGGTCTTTTTCGGAACCCAGAAAGACAGTCTCGTTCCGGCATTATTGGAAGCGGATTTTTTCTGTGCGGCGCATTTGCTCGCGCATAGCTCAGCAAATAACTCAGAGGTGCTGAGGAGAGGCATCCATGCTACACCAACCAATGATGTGTGCCGGCCGACTGCAAGATCTGTATGGTCTTGCTGGTAAGGTCTGTATGGTCTTGCTGGTAAGGTCTGTATGGTCTGATTGGTAAGGTCTGTTATGTTGGGGATGCAGCTCGTTTCGTGATAACTTGTCCGTGAGGCTCCATTTTAAAATACTCTGGGAGGCACTGAGACCAATGTTTGTTCACCAACTGCTTGTATCTGTAGCAAGTTGGTGAGACACACACGAAAGTGCAACATGAGTGCGCAGCTCAGATCGCCTTCATCTTTATCGCTGCCTATTGCGACACAATCCTTGTTATTACATAATGAAAAATACAAGGTTAATGCAGATCAATTGATTCAAATGGAAACTGCATTTCATGAAGTCACCTTCACCAAAGTGGTGAAAATTCGGTAGACTCCAACAGAAGGCTCAGAGGCTCAGTACGCATAGCGGAAGCCCTCCGTTCGTCCTAACCAATCACACTGAAGTCCAACACAGCCGAGCCTTGTTATACACCACCGCTCTTACTCGGTTCAATTTGAGTGCGTCGTTGTAGATGTGTCTCCCTCGAGAACCCGCACGTGGAGCCAGGCGCGGTGCGGAGCGTTGACGCCCGTGACGAGCTCCACGAGACAAGTGGCCGCGTCCGCACCCGCCGCTCCAAGTCCTTCGGACGAGCTAGGGGCTTCTCAGCGCTGATTGGTACCCGAGATGGCGGACCCCGTCAAATGAATCGACCCCGTCGCCGACCGACTCGCGGCCGCCACCGCCGCCGGCCCGCCCGACCGCGAAGGCCGCCGCCCGGTCCCCCGCCCCTGCCCGCCGACGGACGCGCGGCGTCGCCCCAGTCGCTCGTCGGAGTCGGCGCGGTTGTGGCGGCGCGCCGCAGGTGTCCGGCCGGCCGGCTGGAGGCGTCGCCGCTGCGGCGCGCGGCCGCGGTGTGCGAGCGAGCATGGGCGGGCCGGCCTCCTGCCAGCGTCGTCTGGTGCCTGCTGCTCTCGGCGTGCGCCGGTGAGTAGTGCCGTCTCTCTCGGTCGGGATGTAGTCTGCGCGTGCTGGGAGGACGTGTTGTGTGTCCGCTTTTGCCGGCACGGGTTCGTGAAATCCCGGTAGGCTGGATGTGACAGCGCCCATTGACGGCGTCCACGAACATGTAGCTCCTGTTGCAGCTCGCTACTTTGGCTGCTGGTGATATCGATCACTGGCAAACTTCGACGAGCCCTGAGACCATGGGCTCTGACCAGGGAACAATGACAGGTATTATTTTCAACAAAAGTCAGACGAGAATGGCACAAAACAATGGCACAAATACCATGGCGCAAAATCATGTTTATTGCTGCTGATAGACACAAACTATGCCATTGGCAAGTGCTTTGCGCACAGCCATTATCAGCGGAAAGGGCTGAAAATGGGATGATGTGATGGTGTGGTGATATAAAGTGAATTATTTTTGTTCCAATCATGCAATTAAAGATTGCCAATCAGACTAGCGAGAAGTGTAGAATTATCGACGCAGTCAAACTAGGGTTATCCTAAACTCAGTCTGGGAATCGTGCAGTTAAAAACGCGTCTGCTCGTACCATGATCGTTTGGCACTTTTTGATAAAATATGATCATCAAGACGATAAAGCCTTTTCTGACCCCGTACCCGCCAGATGTTATGTAACAACGGCAGACTACCGATCCAAGCAAGACATTTTCTTGACGTTGATAATCTTCCTTCATCCTTTTTGGCTGCGTCTACGAGCTTGGCAATGCCTGACATGAGTATATGAATCTACTGAGGCATAACTGTTGCCGTTTGAAACGGTGCTGTAGCGAAAGCTCCCACCATGACCAATTTCTATGTCATCACCGGCGTTAAAGGCGGGAGGTTTGCGAGCGGAAGGCTCAGATGAGATTCCGCCGATGTATTTCCTGTTCGGTACGTTTCATTTCGGTTTGATATGTGGTTCTAGCTGTGATGAATTTATGCGACTATTTTGATCCGAATGAACGCATCAAAAAATAATTTCCTTCATGGTCGTCGGCTAGAGCAAAGCCCACGCCGGCATTAGCGTAGCGCCGACTCATCGCGGTCTCACTCCTATGTGATGCCAGTCACATGATACCAGCGCTGGCACACCGTTCCATGCCGTTGACAGTGTAACTGTTACTTCCCATGTGGAGTACAACATTTGCCAACGTCCACCATCACAACTGTGGCATGACACGGCCGGTCGCACGGCCCCAGCCGCGATAGTTAATGCCATGAGCCCAAAGTTTGGGAGCAGAAATGGAGATCGCCAAAGTTGGGAACAGTGTGCCTACGCCTGCCCGGGTGTCCGGCTCTGGTTTATGGGTAATAAACAAACGAATCTTCGGCGAACGTTTATAATCAGTGTCCTGCGCAATACACCAACGCTTGTTGAAAACATGCTTTGTAAGGGTGGTAACCTTTCAGCTCCACATTGTGGGGAGTTTGATGACGCCAGAGGTTGCCGAAAATATGCGGTGTATCAAGATGGTGCCGAGTTTTTAGACGTCCCCGGCCATGCACTATTGATAAACGACCGTTGTAAACGAAAACGTTTGCAAGCTTCACTATGTGTGCCTTGAAAACTGTGCAGGGCGGACGCCAGCTAAATTAATTATTTCGCATTCCACGAACCTCGAACCCGCCGGCTTTTGCTCGGCATGGCTGTGGCCGTCAAGGCGTGATTAACCATTACTGCTTCGCTGCAAGTGTGCCCCTATGATTAGGTGTTGACAAGCCGTGGGCAATGCAACCAGATCGTCGTCTGCTTGCTCGACTGGCCAGCACACAGGCGAGGGGCGCAAGGCCTCGCTGCACGGGCCCCTCCGAAGCCGGGCCGCGAGCCTTTCCTACAGAGCGCGTACAAACGCGCGCAAACGAAGCCACGCACACGGTAACGTTGTCGTGATTGATCCTGGAGGCACGACTTGGGTCGCTGCTGGTGATCACACCACCCATTAGTTTCCCTCACATATCTACTCACTGCACGTGAGCTCTGAAGAAATTTTTCCATGACCAGTGGATAGACAGGTAAATCCTCCCCCCCCCCCTTCTATTCTTCTCACTCTGAGTTTGCCGGTACCTATACGATCAAGTGAAAGTGATCTTAAAAGCTGTGATATTCAGTGTCAACCCCAGCCTTACATGGCACAACAATTTAGAACGGGGTTCGTTGAAGTGCAATATGGACCGTGATAAGCAAGGCAAAGTATAATACAGACTGATCCCTGATGCGTTATCTGAACTCTGTTCTGCATGGGCCTCACCATATCGGTCATGAGCTTCACCATACGAATTGCGTCTCTTCTTCGACAGAGGACCGGTGGCGCCAGCACACGGCCACATGCCCAACTGTTGCTGACTCCTGGTCTCTCGTTATCGTGCCGCTCTCTCTCCCAACATGAAACTTTGACGGGGGAGGGGGAGGAGGCGGGGCGGCAGCCGGACCATTTGTAGGCGAGCCTGGCCAGCCGACGGGCGCCGTTTGCCGCCGGTCGGCCGGCAGCCGGCGGCGACGGCACAGCGCGGCCGCGCGTTATCTGGCGCTCTTAATTGCCGCCGCGCCATCGATTCGACGGCGACGGACGCGGCCGCCGCGTCGATTTCGTCGTGCCGGCACGTGAGCGGGTTGACAGTGTCCAAGCGGGGCGGGGGGGGGGGGGGGGGAGGGGGGGAGGGGGGAGTGGGAAGGAAGCGGAGCACTGGGGTCCGAGCGGACACGGAGGAAGCGGAGCACTGGCACTGGGCAAGGCAGGAGGGAAGTGGCGCACTGGCGGCGGGCAGGCGGGAGGGAAGTGGCGCACTGGCGCTGAGCAAGGCAGGAGGGAAGCGACACATTGGCGGCAGACCAGCAGGAGAGAAGCGGCCGTACTGACGCTGGACCAGCAGGAGAGAAGCGGCGTACTGACGCCGGGCCAGCAGAAGAGAAGCGGCGTACTGACGCTGGGCGAGCAGGAGGGAAGCGGCGTACTGACGCTGGGCGAGCAGGAGGGAAACGGCGCACTGGCGCTGGCCAAGCGGGAGGGAAGCGGCGTACTGACGCTGGGCGAGCAGGAGAGAAACGGCGCACTGGCGCTGGCCAAGCGGGAGGGAAACGAGCCAAGGATGAAGTGCGGAAAGACTTAAGAAAGAAGAAGAGAAGGAAAGGCGTATGCTTTTGAGATGAGTGGGATAATGGCAAAGGTAGCAATGTCTCCCAGAATCCCGGAAAAAAACTAAATGTGTGTTTCAATTTACTTTGAATACCTCACACAAATGGCATTTACGGCCAACATTCATCCGTGCACTTCTTTTCTCTCCTGCCACTTCAGGGCTTGGTTCTTCTGCATCGCCGCGGGCAGCGCGCGTCTAATGCGGCGCGTGCTCGCCACGCGCAACACGCAGACCGCCCTTCTGAACATTGTTGGAGATGTTGTGCGGCACAGTGTGCTTACTTAGGGACGATAGTTGACATGCTATACCCTCCGTTCAATCCTTGTTTCTGTTTACTCCTCGAGCCGGGCACCGGGCAGGAGGCTCAGGTTACGCATCCTTTGTAATGGGGATGATTTGTGCCTCGAAAAAATGGATCGCGGTCAAACGTTGTGGCTGGTCGCACCTAGCAGGAACAGCCACATGTCCTTACGGTCACAGAGCTTCCACATAGGACGCCTGACAGTCTCAAACACATCGCATGGGTTATGTTGACTGTACATGCATCGGAGTGATGCGGTGCAACCGATACGCTTTAGCATTTCTGCTTTTCCTGGTCGCCGGGTATGCAATCGCTCCTGGTAAAAACAGACGCTTTAGGTCTAACGGTATTCAGATCAATCACCGATAGTGTTGCGGTGTACTAGTCATTTTTCACGGGTTATTTGGAGCCAAGAATCTGTTAGTCGTTGTGGGTTATACCACGTCCGCTTGGTATTATTCGCCTGACTTGCGGTAAGCCTTAAGGCAGGCTCCTAACAGTAAGCTAGAATCGCTTTTGAACTAGGGTGGGAGTGAAACATGTAATCGCAGAAAGACGCTACGGAAGTGAAAATTCAGTTCACAAAAGTTGGAACTTGTGGGTCGGTGAGAAATGCTCCAGCAAACAAAGACGTGCATTTGAAGTTGGTGTGGACGTAATATCATAAACATGACAAAACTTTTTGCAGAGCAAAGGAGGGGAATTCAACAACAAAAATCAACAAGCTTAACGCACTGAAACAAAAAAGCCCTGGACGCCTGCCACATCAGCACATCACCAAGTCAAACACGACAGACATGCTTTTGGCTTCCGTTAAGATGGGGCCAGGAAAAGATATTATGCTACTGTTTCTTACACATGCGGAGCAATGCTTATTCCATGAAAGCAACCTAACTAAGCCTAACCTAAAGAAGCCTTACCTCATCTCATTCTGTCTAACCTATCTGTATCACAGTAGCATTTGCATGCCATTGACTCTCACAAAACTCCCACCGCCATGTTCCATGCAATTAACCAACTTAACCCAGCTAAGAGTAGCCGATGTGTTGAACATAATCTGAACTCACCTTACCTATTTCTTGACAGCAGCAGTTGTAATAAAACATGATAAAACTGATTTTTGGTTGGTTACAACTTTTGTTTTGGTTCATTTCGTTTGTTTCAGCTTGTAGCAGCAGACAAAGTTGACAACACACACATCAAATCACCTCGAATCACTTTCAACAACTTAATCTGGTTGTCATGGTTAGCCTTTATGAAGGACAGTAGTGGGTATGCTCCACAAAGCAATCTCGTCTCCAAACGTAACCAAACTTATAGATGGCCGCAAAACCAGTGTTGCTGTTTGCCTTTCAGCTGCAGTAAAGGCATCCAGTTAGGCTTGTTGATTCATGTTTAATGACAAAGTTTGAGCTTTTGGCTTCACATTTTAAATGGGATAGTCTGCTTGCTGGAAATCTATGTATACATCATCTTGAAATTGCTATGCAGCTTAGAGTATTCCTGTGTTAAAAATATAGTGCGTATCTATAGTACAGCCAT